TGTACCGCGGGGCCCCAATCCGCGACCACGACCAGAACTAGGTGGAAAGGTGGTCGATGTACTGGGGAGGGGTTCTACCCCGTCCATCTGTTCCACCTCCTTTCTCGGCAGGAAAGCTGCGTGCAAACCACGCAGCTCCTTGGTTGCTGGCTGCCTCTCCAGGGACTGAGGCCGAGGGCCTCGCTTCTTCTCCTCCTTAGGAGAGCGGCCAGTGTTAACAGGTGCAGACAGTGCTGGCCTGTCTTGAGCAGAGGAAGCAGCTAAAGCGCCCTCTCTGCGAGAACAGGAAGCCTGCTGACCCTGCGCTGCAGTCTTGAAGGGTAGGGCGGGCACGGCTATTGCCGGCCCACCTTTGCCCAGGGGAGCAGCATGCTGCTTTTGTCGAAGGGATGGGGCCCTTAGGTCAGCCGCCAAGATCTCAGGAGAGACCTGGGTGGCCCTAGTCTCCAAGTGTGGTGCAGGGCCCCTTCGCACCACCTTGGCGTAACCTCCTTTTGAGAGGAAGGACAGCTTCTTCTTAGCCTCCAAGTAGGTGATGTTCTCCTTTGCCTTTAGGGAAAGAATTTCTTTTTCTTGACGCCAAAGGGGACAGGTGCGGGAGTAAGCTGGGTGGGGCCCACTGCAGTTACTACAGCGGGCCGCTGCCTCGCAGATGTCAGCAACATGTTCCTGGCTTCCACATTTCGCACAAGTTTCTTTCCCTCTGCAACTGCGTGACCCATGCCCAAAGCGTTGGCAGCGGAAGCAACGTTGCGGGTTGGGGACATAGGGACGGATGCGGCACTGGAGATAACCTGCCTTCACAGTTTCAGGGAGGGTGTGTCTCTCAAAGGTCAAGATCACGTGCTTTGACGGGGTTTCCTTGCCATCCTTGCGGAACATAATACGTTTAACGGCGACAACACCGGCATCTTTCAGTCCTTCCAGGATTTCTTCCTCGCTAGCATCGAGGAAGTCGTCTTCAGAAAGGACTCCACGGATCGTGTTGAGCGTCCGGTGAGGACTCGCGAACACTTCGACGTCGACTATGCTGGTCATCTTAGAGAGTGCTTCACTTTGGGCTTTCGTGTTTACTTCAACGAGAAGGTCGCCGGAGTGGAGTTTTTTTGCTTTGCACGAGAATCCAATAAGGTTTTCTAGCACTTTGGCTACCACAAAGGGGGACAATTTGGACACTGGCTTTTCTTCAAGGTTCGAGTGAATCACAAAAAACTTTGTAAATGTTCCCATTTCAGGGGCTTTTCCAATGACTTGGGGCTCAGGGCGAGGCCTCTTGGAGGCCTGCCTTGAACCGGGTTTAGAAGGGAGGGGCGCCATATGAAGGGCAAAAAACTTCGGCGTCCGTAGCGCACCACCCACCACGGAGTCCAACAAGGGGATAGGTAACATCTCATAACAGGTCTGGCTTGTCTGAGTATGTTACTCTATCAGTGCTACCAGGATGCTATTCGCGACTCCAACTAACTATAGGTGGCGCCACTCATATTCCAAGATGGCGGGTTTAGTGAGGGTCAGAGATGCGTGCCGCTGTTGAGCCTGTCTAGTGTGCTGGCTTCACTGAGCGACATAAATTATTTCTGGTAATACGAGGAAGCTAATGTTTCATGAGCGTAGGTCACCTCTTTAACCTGAAAACAAGAACAGTGTTTAGCGTATTAATTACGGAAGGATGCGCGTTTTAATTCTGGAGCGAAACCGAAACTTACCTCTATTTTGGATTTAATTTCTGGACAGATGTCTTAATTTCGGGTTCTTTCATGACTCAAGATGTGTCTCACATCGTAATTATTTACTTAGAAAAGTTGTTCGCGGAAAATTTATTTTGTGACATACTGTTCGATCCAGGCTGATATTTGTCGTTGTTGAAAAAATCAGTGCTGATATCTGTGCGTTCTCGATGCCTTTTTCTCGCTCAGATAATTGTCATGGGAAATAATGACAATTATCCCAGCACACGAATAAGAAAATAATTCCAATTTTACAATATGTCCACGAAACGCATAAACTAATAAACGCTGCTCTCACTGCAACAGCCCAAGACGAAATCCGAGTCAGACAGCTGAAGTGTGTGTGTGTGTCTTTATAGCACCGCGTGACGCGTAGGACTTCATATTACATCCAGCGTTTAATTGTATGTCTATCTCGATAACCATGTCACAGTTTTTCATATGCTAAAAAGAAAACAGAATTATACCTTTCTGGAAAGACTATTATGGTTAAATAGAGTATTCCGTGATCTTGGCGTTAATTAGAGGCATGCATCGCCGCGATTTGTATTATAATAATAATATTAAAATTCACATATTTGAATAAGTAATTATTCAAGCTCTAATATAATTTGTTGCTTATGGTCTAATTTTAAACGCGCGAAGAAATATGACAATGAAAACTGTGCTAATTATCATCACTGGTTCCAATTGCTGCATTTTAATTACAAATAAAATAAAAATAGTCTAAAATCAATGAAAACAATCTAGCTAATGTGAGAAATCAATGTAAAATTACATTAATTGTAGGTAATGTATATTGTGCTATCAAAGTCGCGACTTTTGACAATCGGTGAAACGTCCAAAGTCGCCGCCAATATACTTCCAGAACAAATGCCCAAAAGTTAAAAAAAGCCTTTTTATTTTTATTTTTTAATTTTATTTCGGGTTACCCCGCAGCGCCCGAAGGCATTATTGCAGGGGGGGGGGGGGGGGGGGGCGAGGTACATAGTTCTGAGGGTAGAAATACACACGTGCATATGTACCAAAAACAAGAAATAACGCAAGCTCACAGGAAAACACACTAAATCAAAAGCAAGCCGAGAATATGATGAAAGAAACATCGGTGACTCGCATTCCATGTATTTTTTAATTCCTAGTTTTTTCATAACATTTATTTACTTTTGTATTTGCTCGCCGTCATTTTGCCAATCTCAGCCTTTTCAGTTCGAAGGAACGCCTACCTGCTTGCACGTCTGCTCACTGCAGCACGTTTCGTTGGCGTTGAAAACCGGTGAAGCAGTAGTGAGTTTTAATATTGCGTATACGAGCGAACTCAAGTCCTGTGTGTTTGCGTTAGCTTTGCGCGTTCCACACTGCGCGTGCGCGGAGCCCGAAATTGCGGTCTTTGATGGCGCATGGCGATGAGGCGCACGCACAACGTGGGGCACGCAACTCTAACGCAAACGCACACCGCTTGCGTTTGCTTCTATGCGCAATACTAAAACTCTCCAGTAAGGTACGATCCCAGACCGGCTGCAGCACTACGTTGGAACAGTGAAGAGTGTTGTTTGCATTCGGAAACGACATTTCGCGAGCCATGATCGCAAGCAGTTCCGCCATGCCCGCTGAGCAGGAGAATCGGGGGACCCTCACTAGAGCGCTTCCCGTTTCCGCCGCGGGAGGGCGAGCGTCGAGCTGGAGACGCGAATAACCAAGTGTGGGTCAAGAAAGAGTTCTGTCGCCACCCAAGGTTAGCCCTTGCCGCCAAAGAAGGTGAAAACGAAGAATAGGAGAAAGGAGGAAAGAGAAAGAAAAGAGGGGATAGTAGAAGAAGTGGCGACTAGACTGAATCATCCTGGCCGGGCCTTACCAGGACTCCCGTCTATGAGAAGCGGGGGCCGAAGTGGTGTATTGCCTCGCCCGGGGGGCCCCGAAGGGTCCAAACCTACCCCGGGCTCGGCTCAACCACCAGGATGCCCTTTTCCCCAGACACGGGACAGCCACGCACAGCCAGACATGGGCGGGCGAACCCGCACGGCTTGGGGTCCGTGGAGACGCCACTCTCCAAACACCTGCTTTCACAGGTGCCCCCTGCGGGCACCCCAAAGCTGCAGCAACCAAAAGAAAATTACATAGATTTTGCACACGGCTCCAATGCTTCTTTTCCCTTTGAGAGAATGGGCCAATAAGCTTGAATAGAGTCCAGAGAGCGTGCAAACCGATGGCCTTGGGTACCTTGCTTCCCCTTTCCTTTCTTCTCCCCTCTACTCCCCCTTCCCAAGAAAAGACCTCGGCACTGCCGGCAGTGCTTCCGTGTTTTGGTCCTTCTCTCCCCTGCCGTACTTTCATGGCAGCCAGTACTTCGTTTTGTTTGTTCTATCCGAGAATTGCGCGCAGAAGCGGCCATTAAAAGTGGATAGTCTTCTGTAGGATTCTTGCAAAGTATGTTCGGGGATTAACAATTGTTTGCAATAACCGAGTGTTTGATTTAAGTGGGGCCGTTATAAGTGAGCTCGACTGTATTTTTAGGTTATGTGTCCCTGCCAAACTTATTGCGGCGAGGGGAAGTGAAGCAAAGATGACTGTACCCTCCAGTCAGCAATGTTTGCTTATATCCCACCATAGCTAACTAGCCACATTTATGCTCAGACCATCATTGACCCAAACACTATGATTACTAGAAGCGTGCGATTTTTCGGTGTTTAAGAAAAAATAGGAAATCGAGCCACAAATATGGGGTGTGTTATCCTTCGGGGGTGGGGTATCTCTCAGGATATTATGGTATACATAGGACGCAGACTATAGTCTAGAAACTATGATAGTAATAGTTTTTTTTTTTCTTTCTTTTTTTTTTACAGCGAAGCTGTTAAGGATTAGTTTCCCCAGTTTCGTGTCTGTGGACAAATAAATCTCGACACAATGCTCTAGACAGCTACCGCCATCTATAAGCGACAGCCAAACCAGACAACCGGACTGCCGGTTGTCTGGTTGCCGCCGTCGTTCAGAGATGACGGCACATATTACAGCTCTGCTGCTCTTTTTTCTTCACCACAGTAGAAAGGCTGATAGTTTTTTTTGTTTTTTTTTTCAGACATAATTTTTTTTTTTTTTTTGTAAAAGCCTGCTTTGTTTCATGTGGAGGCAATACATTTTTTCTTTGACTTCACTACAAATATTTTTAAAATCTCTCGGTTACTTTTGAACGTTAAACATCCAATTTCCCAGAGAAAAGTGGTGCAGTCACACTGTCATATCAGTGTTCCCAGTAGAAGTTGTCAAAAGTCCACGTACCTGTAGCACGTAGCGGCCGTCTCCGAGGTTGCCAGCAAATACAGTTGGGTTCTGTGTGCTGAAGCCGCTGTGATCCAACTCGTTGATCTCCTGATCCGTCTGCAGGATCTGAGACAGTCGTAGAAGATGGAAGGATAATGTTAGCTCTAAAGATATTTTGTACTCAAACGATCAAGCTTTATGAATGTGTAAGTCAAGCCAATATAGCACTGCACATACAAAAGTAGACACTAGCTATCAGCCAAAATTTTAAGATGCTGAAACCAAGAGAGGCCTGAAGCACTTGTCACAAAAAAGAAAAACATACATAGAGTTGAGGTACAGTGAACCCCTGTTAACTCGAACACGCACATTTCAAAAGATCGGCTCAGTCGGAAATTTTGTGCGTTGCGAAATGAACCCCATAGGCACCATGTATTCTGACATTGCTTATCTCGAAAAGTTTCCCAGACGGGCATCGTATATCTCAAAACTTTCCCTGCAAAAAGTTTTAAAAAAATATTTCCGAAAGGACATTGAGAAGAAAGCTTATCTCCATCGCGGAGGAAGCTGCTGCGACCTAAAAATAATGCGAACAAAGAGAAAGAGGATTGCCAGAAAAAAAAAAAAAAAGCGTCGCGGATGCATTCTGGGTGGGTGCACAGAACTCCACGTGCGGAGCGACGGTTCAAGGACGCTCGTTTTCCTACTTTTTGAATTCCCCCCATCTCCCGCGCCGCGGATATGTTCCGGTTGCACATAACGCAATGCACTGAGCGAAGAGGACAATTCAAGGACGCTTGTTTTTTTTGCTTTCTCCTCATCTCCCGCGACTTTTCTTTCTCTTTTTCTCGAAGTTTGTGCTGGCTTGTGGCGTTCTATCGGCTCTCCCGACCCCGTGGTCGCCACATCACAACGCCATTGTCGCGTGCGTCGCCTTTGTTCAACCCGGACCACAGCCGCCTCCCGTCTCGTTGGTCGGTATTCGAAACTTTAGGTACTTTGCTTATCTCAAAATTTCGCTTATCATGAAATTTTTCCCGGTGTTTAGGATTTTGAGTTAACGGGAGTTTACCGTAACTGCACTAAAAGCTTGATTTGCCTATTACAGTATAATATGATGCATTATTCTCACCAACTGGAACACTGCAAAAATGTACTCATGACCTTCAGAAAAACTAGTGCTAACAGTCCTGTGCACAATGTGGCTGCTGAGGCTGCAATAGAAGGTAGTTGCAACTTGACTACAACCTTTATTCCAACTGGAAGAAGAAGTGAGTAGGGTACAGGAAGGTTGTCTATTAGTGCTGCAAAATTATTGATAGTACTATCAAATACATTTCAGACAGGAAACTAAACCAAAAATATAGACTAGTGTCCAAAATCTTAGCCCCCAGCAATAAAAATGGGAAATAATAATCTCAAACGCAGGCTTCGTAAAGAGAAGGGCTGCGCATGAAATAAGATTTTTGCTTTTTACAGCACTCTTGTCATCAGTGTTGTTCTTGGAACTTCGTGACTATGCATTTCTGACGTTCTTGCACTACAACATGTGCGAAGGTTTTTAAAAGAAACGGAGTCTTAAAAAAAGTGCAGCCCCCCCAACTGTGTCATGGCATCAGCATAAACAGACATTGGGGTGCCCATCAAACAAAGCAGACACTGGTCTATATGGGGTTGGCCAGAGACATAGAAGTGGTACCATTTCTTGGCAAGGAGTGGTCAACTCAGTGCAAACAATTAAATTGATATCAGTCATGTACTCCACTGTTTTCCTCCCTTAAGGGGACACGCCCCCTAGGGGGGTCAACTTTTGAACCCTTGTCTTAAAATTCATGAAATTTACAAGGTAGGCTGGTGGTCATGCTAGAGGGTGTATAACACAATTTCAGGTCTGTCAGTTAAATGAAAAGGAAATTAGAGTAGCTTCTATCAGCAACACGCCTACATTGTTTAGTTAATCTATCGTCGGAAAACTATAACAATGTTCAAGATTTTTATTTGCTAGATATGTAGCAGAATGCCTAGAGGGTGCGGCTATGGAACATTCTTTCTAAAAAGTAATTTATTTCTATAAATTTTCTCTTCTGCAAAATTGGACAACTTTTTGGTCTTCTGTGTCTTCGACGAAATGTCAACATTTTTTATAAAAGACATGCGTAAAGTGACAAAAAAGTTCCATAGCCACATTCCTTATTAAATTTCAGTCAGGAAAAGGGAAGAATGAGCCTTCCCTTTTTGCCGTCATCAAACGATAGATTGACTAAAATGGAATTTATACCAAAAAGTGGAATGGAAAAAAATGCGTTCAAAGTGCTCCAAACGCTACCTTTTCTTTAGCTTTGGCGAACAGAAAATAATTTATAAAAAATTAACTATGCAGTGAAAATTAATTAAACTTTTTGGAATACTCTAAGTATTGGTGGATGTAAATATGTCATTTTTCAAAATCAACTTTTTTTGGCAGAAATTTTTTTTTCTGGGCAGCACATTCACACACTTGCGACCTCTTAGAACCGAGCGCCTTGGAACCTGTTAATCTCTCTTACAACAAGAGGGCACACCGGCGCCATCTATTGGGTAGCAGTGTAAACTTGGCGGTCCGGCATATTTTCTATTTTTCTCACATATTATCCTTTCTTTTTTGGCTCAAAACACTTGTTGACGTTATAAAAGAGTCTTTCTCATGGGTATTACGCACATTTGACCCCGGAAATCCCGCAAAACCTTCACTCTTGAGGCAAGGGTGCACTCCTCAGTTTCATCGTCGTGTGCCCGTCGTGTGGTGAAGTGGCAAGTACACCGCACTCGTCAAACATCGGCGATACTCATCAAAATGAACTTGTTGCGCGTATCGGACTTGCGGCGCGCGACTATGGAATGAGTTTCACGAAGTTCTCAAACTTTTTTAACAGCATCAACCTACCTCCACCAATGTCTGAAGTCTGCCCAGAAAGTTGCGGCAAAAGTTCAAGACGCTACCATGAAGGCTACCAGTAAAGTGATGGAGAGTGCAGCACAGTCTGTCCGGAAAGCGGAGATGTCCCAAGGAGAGGAGCTGCTGGATGTGTGCGTTTAGTACGACAATACGTGGCATAAGCACGGCCAAACCTCCCACTTTGGTGTTAGAGTGGCAATCGAGCTCAGCAGTGGCCTGGTCCTCGGCTTCAGTGTGCAGAGCAATTATTGCCAGGTGTGTACCCAAAGTCCAAAGCCAAGGTCTGCAGGATACGAAGAATGGCTTGAAGGCCACTGCCCTGACTGCCAGAAGAATTTTCAAGGATCTTCAAATGCTATGGAAGTAGAAGCTGCGGCAGTGATTTTCGGACGTTCTGTGGAGCGGCACGGCCTGCAATACACCACGGTACTGTGCGATGGTGACAGCAAGGCATATCTGAAAGTTGCTAGCCTCAGACTTTATGACAAGAAAATGAAGAAAGAGGATTCCATCAATTATGTTGCGAAGCGAATGTACTCTGGCCTGGATGCCTCGAAGAAGGCTAAAAAGGGGCTTGGTGGCAAAAAGAAGCTAACAAATGTAAAAATGAAGCAGCTCACAAATTACTATGCCCGCTCCCTAAAGGATAATGCCCCAGATATCGTAGCGATGGAACATGGGGCGTTTGCCAGTCTTCTCCACTCTTACTCCCACTGGAACAAACTCCTTGTGCCACTACAATCGCAGCAAGGCACTTGAGGCTGCAGGAGAACCATCTGGATCCAGGCCCCACAAGCCAGCCTTTTCCAGGGATTGTGAAGGAATTGGTTTCCCCCTACAATCAACTGTCACGAAGGGACTTGCTGGAGCGCTGCTCAAGAATGAAGACTCAAAATGCGAATGAGTCATTCAATGCACTGATTTGGAAAAGGTGTGCCAAGGTGGAGTTCACCTCCCTCAAGACCGTGGAGTCTGCTGTTGCCTTGGCGGTCCTCCAGTTTAATCTGGGACCTTGAGGCTTTGAGGAAGCCCTCTTAGAGATAAGCATCGAAGCAGGGAGCCACCACATTGCACGTGCCGTGAAGGCCGCCCAAAAGAAGATAGAAAAGGCCCAGGTCAAGGCTCTTGAGTCATCCAAAGATTCACACAAGCGAAGGAAGATGGAAGCCGTGGCTAATGCACAGAAAGACCGTGAACAGGAAGGACTCACCTATGCTCCTGGTGCATTTTAGATGATGTGCCAAGTACCATTTCAAGTGGGACATGTTACCAACTTTCAAATGCATTTTTCTCAGTTTAGAATTTTTAACTTTTTTCGTTTGTGAAAAACTATTTTTTTTGTTTCTTTGCCTATACATCTGATGTTCTGTCTTTCTAGACAAAAATTTACTGGAAAATCCGTTAAAATACTTCGTTTTCAACTATTTTCATTTTTTCACGAAAAAAAAGTTAAGTTCTATGAAAGTCATAAGAGAAAACAAAAGCCATTTTGTAAATACAAGTTTTCACACTGATGTTGGCATCAAACAATATTGCTATATACAGTAAAACCTCGTTATAACAAAATGGGACATAACAAACTAATGGATATAACAAAGCAATCATAATTCCCCTTGCTTGCTAATAGGCAAGAAATGGACATTGGCTATAACAAACTAATGGTTATAACGAAATAATTAAGATCACTCCTTCAACTTTGTTATAACGAGGTTTTACAGTAGTACATGACCTTGTTCACCACTTACTTGATATTACATTTATGCAAAAATAATCAGTCTTTTCCTTTGTCTATAAAAATTAGTTTTTTCTTTTGTACTACTGATTATAATTTTTTTATTACAAATTATGATTAGAGGTGTGCGAACATCAGAATCTTTCGAAGCAAATTGCATTGAATAATAAGGTTATGAACTGAATTGAATTGAATTGAATATTTTCGAATATGGATAGTAGTTTCGAATAAAAACATTTTTGAAAACAAAAAATTTTCTTTTTGATGTGAATTAAACAAGAATGCGCAATCAAAAAACACAACTGGAATTTTTTTTTCAACGAACACTTATGAAAAGGTTACTTTTATTACAATAAAAAAAATGTCACACATGTGACTGATAAAAAACAGATGAAAAAAAAGATCAGTCAGTAAAACACCATTCAATGAGTGAAGTTAGAGAACGTAAATGAAAGTGCA